AGGACGTACTGTAACGTGCCTCGCATTGCGGCAGCCGAGAGGGGCCCCCACGGCACACGGGGAAAGCGGTGGAGTAAACGTGGGGCAGATGGAGAAAGGTTTCCTCTTTGCTTAATTGTTATTATTTTTATCGCTGTTATTATAAAATGGCCAGTCGCCCTCTGCCCGGCGTGGGGCCGTGATTTCGGCAGCGCCCTCCAGGTGAGAGGGAGGAGGCTGAGCTGCGGGGCAGTGGGTGCACCCATGGGTGCTCTCTTCCCCTGGGCATTAAAAAATGATTGTTTGTTGATGCTGTGTTGGATCACGGCTGATTTCTGGGAGGCAGCTCTGGGTTTTAAAGACTTGACCTGTCTTCATTTTCTTGGGATCTGCTCTGGAGGGAGAGACGCCGGAGCACTGTGTCTGCTCAAACTCTCTGAATTTGGCTTTTCACCTCCACCACTGCTGGGTTTTGGCCCCTCTGGGTGCAGGTTGTCCCCACCATGGGCCCCCAGGGACACAGCCAGGTGGGCACTGAGGTTGGGGACCACCAGCCCGGGGACAGCAGGGACACCACGCTGCCCTTCATGGCCAGGGAGAAAATACGTCCAGGTGTCTCACAGTGCATCTTCCTCCTCCAGCAAAAAAAAACCCAAATTGAGTGAAAGCTCTTTTGCTTGCTGCAGTCCCTGCTGGGCTGCAGATTTAGGCTGCTTTTTGATTTTTTTTAATAGTTTATCTTTTCCAGCACTGCTCTGCACCAGCTCCTGATGACGTACCACCCCAGGAGGGCGTAACCCGCCATGGCAGAGGAGGTGAGGCTGCCCAGCTGCAACCAGATGTGGCCAAGCCAAAAGAGCCAGGAACTTGCTCCTGGGTGCCTGGAGGAGTCCTGAAATGTGAGTTGTAGGTAGGCGAAAGCAGGAGGCTCTGGACAGCAGCTGACCTGAAGATGGCATCCAGGAGGGCCAGGGAGCGGCGCGGCACCAGGCAGACATACCCGTGCTGGCTGGTGCCAAAGGCATTGGCCATTGCAGAAGGCATTGATCATTGCAGATGTCATTGGTCATTGCGGACAGTTTTGGTCATTGTGGAGGCCATTGGCCATTGCAGATAGCGTTGGTCGTTGTGGAAGGTGTTGGCCATTGCAGAAGGCATTGATCATTGCAGACAGTGTTGGCCATTGCGGAAGGTGTTGGCCATTGTTGAAGGTGTTGGCCATTGCGGAAGGTGTTGGCCATTGTTGAAGGTGTTGGCC